TACACACATACACACACACATACACACATACACACACACATACACACACACACATACACACACACATACACACATACACACACATACACACATACACACACATACACACACATACACACACACATACACACACACACACACACCGTGACAAACACACACACACACGCACGCACCGTGACAAACACACACACACACACACGCCGTGACAACCACACACACACACGCACCGTGACAACCACACACACACACACACCGTGACAACCACACACACACACACACACGCGCCGTGACAACCACGCACACACACACACGCCGTGACAACCACGCACACACACACACGCACACACGCCGTGACAACCACACACACACACACCGTGACAACCACACACACACACACACACACGCCGTGACAACCACACACACACACACCGTGACAACCACGCACACACACGCACGCCGTGACAATCACACACACACACACACACACGCCGTGACAACCACACACGCCGTGACAACCACACACACACACGCACCGTGACAATCACACACACACACACGCCGTGACAAACACACACACACACACCGTGACAACCACACACACACACACACGCACCGTGACAACCACACACACACACGCACGCCGTGACAATCACACACACACACACACACACGCCGTGACAACCACACACACACACACGCCGTGACAACCACACACACACACACACACGCCGTGACAAACACACACACACACACACACCGTGACAACCACACACACACACACACGCACCGTGACAATCACACACGCACACACACACACGCCGTGACAACCACACACGCCGTGACAACCACACACACACACGCACCGTGACAATCACACACACACACACGCCGTGACAACCACACACACACACACACACCGTGACAACCACACACACACACACACGCACCGTGACAATCACACACACACACGCCGTGACAACCACACACACACACACACACGCACCGTGACAACCACACACACACACGCACGCCGTGACAATCACACACACACACACGCCGTGACAACCACACACACACACACACACACGCCGTGACA